GGTGGGGGGGACCCCGCAGCGCCACGGTCCCGCCTACAACCGCGGGCCCCAGGCCTACGGGCCCGTGCTGCTGGCCCGCCGCCACCTGCACCAGGTGACCGCCCCGCTCCCCTCCCCTGCCCTCCGCCGGGCCCCCACGCCCGCTCCTGGGTGGGCCCGAGCCCCCGGCCCGCCCGCGAGGCCTCCCCTTCCCCTTCCCTTTTCCCTTCCCCTTCCCCTTTCTCCTGAGCCGTCCCAGTTGAAGGCGGGCCTGCACTCTGGGGAGAGGCGATGTCTTCCCTAGACCAAGGGAGCAGTTGGGGAGAGCCCTCGGGGCGCAGTTGGGCTTCTCGCGCTTCCTTGCCCCGCTCCCCCCGCCCGAAGTCTTCTCTGAACTCTCCGCTTGCCCCTGCAGCGGGCGGCGGGGTCCATCGCTCAGGGCGCCGCACCGTCGCCTTCCTCTGTGCGGGAGCAGGCGTTGGGGACCCGCGTCCGGCTCCGCTGCTGCCCAGGTGCTGGGCTCTCCTGTTGTTTCGGTGGGAACCGCAGAGACCTGGTTTCAAGTCAGAGGTTCTCGGCCCTTTTCAGACTCGAGGCACCCCTCGGAAACCACCAGCTCTTCGTTTTTCCATGCTTTTTTTGACTCTGGGGAAATCGAGCAGTTTTTCTCCTGCAAAGACCTCAGAAAGACCACAGCTATGGGTGTCTGTTGGCAGTCTCTGGGTTTATTTTGCGGGGCATGATTGCAAACCTAACAGTGGGGCACCCTGGTTGAGAATCACTGTTTTAAGTCTTAGTTCAAGTATGTTTCATGGGTTTCAAATTGCTTTGGCAGGTTTTGACCATCTGGGGTTGCACCTTTCCTATTTATTAATAATATTGCAGCTGTTTTATGTCTCCCATATATTATTAGATATTAATATATTAGGGTATTAGAGAAACATCATAGCTGAGTAATATTCTTTGCATTTACTCATCAGATTGCTACTGCAAGCCTTGAGATGAAACGGGATTTACATTTCTGTAGCTTTTCTGGTACGTTCTGTTCAGCGACCAGTAGTTAGAAGGGAGTGACAAGTTCACAACTGGTTGCTGACCAATTTGATATCAACATCTTTACATTCATTGGGGAGCATTACAGTTTGAATCCTGCAGTCTCTGAGCAAGAGTGGTTTGCTTTCCGTTTTGTGTGTCCCCAGGCTCCTACCGTTAACGTTCACTTCACAGGATGTTTGCAGGACCAGTACCCCTGTTTGCCATGTTTGTGGTGTGTGCTTCAGTGTGCGCTCCTTCTACAGTAAAAAAAAGAAAAAAAAGAAAAAGTAATATGAGATCTCTGCTGAAATGTCAGGAATCGCCTCCCTGCTGCAAAGGTTTTACACAGGTGTTTAAAGGTGACCCTGCAAAATGCTCCATCTCTTTCAGGTCCCAAATCAAAGCGCGCGTGCAAATTTAAAAATTACAAGTACATTCATGTCTTAAAATGTGACATTTGAAAACCACTTCCCCTTCACCTTCCCGCCTGCGTGCTCTAATCAAAACCCCATGTCATCCCCTGCAATAGTTGATGAGATTACAGTGCCGAAGCTTGAAGCATTACATCATGAGCTCCGGGAAACATCTGCTACTTCAGTCATCTTTATTCAGCTCTTGTCTCTGCTCCTTCATGATTTAGTGACAGTAGGACACGCTCTGTTTCAATGCTGAAACGGGTCATCTT